ATCACTACTATCAGTGTGCGTGCGAGCTTCGCTGTTCCCAGTACCATGTGACTATGAGTGGTGTCATTCCTACAGCTGCAGATGCCATAGACGATCCCAGTTCACACTGATACTACTCGTGATACAGTGATAGATCTACTGTGAACACCTTCTTTCAGGTATGTTCTTTGTGATTCCGTTCTCTTGAGTTTACAGTGGCAGTCTAAAGTGCATATATTGATGACTAGATCTATAAACAAATACGAACAACGATCAAGTATTGATCTTATTACTATTTCCCTGTCAGTTGTTTGGGGAGGGGGGCGAATAGCCCAGTCCTGACATCTGCTTCAGTTTGCTTTGTTATGTTTCTGTGGTTTATGAGACCAGCACAGCATTTTTTAATGCAACAACCCGCACTTTTTTTCCATAAACCAAGGTGATATGTTAATTAAACGCCCCTTTAACAATAAATCATTACTGTGCTCAATACAACGACGTGTTAACGTGTACGCTTTTTGTCAGGCGAGTCAATGTGATTCAGTAGGCCTACTGTTGAGTTCATCATGTGGCAATCCAGAGCGCATATGACTATTATGAGAATGGCAGCCAGGCATTGGTTTTATTACTACTATGATTTCCTTTCCTGTTTACCGCTACTTAGACTTTTAAAAAAAATGAAAATGCTGTTGGTGAGGAAGTGGAGAATAACACCGCCCCCACACCTGCTCCAGTTTGTTTTATCGTGTTCCGACCTGGAGACGACGAAAAATTATTTGAAAATGTTATTTACTAAAAATACATGTACAAGTAGGTGTGAAACCATAATATCCAAGTCTACTGTAATATATATATATATAAATTTTTAAAATTTTATTTGTATTGATTTGCAACAACGATGATGATAGTGGTGATGCTGATGTGATGGCTGATGATGTTGATGATGATGGTGATGATGATGATGATGATGATGATGGTGATGATGATGATGATGATGAGGATGATGAGGATGATGATGATGATGATGATGATGATGAGAATGGTGGTGGTGATGATGATGATGATGTATGGCATTGTATGATATGGCATGGTGTCTTGTGGTACGATGTGGTAGGCCTAGCCTGTCAACGGACACTTCCATAATTATCGAAACAGTACAGACAGTAATGATGAATGCACCGGTATGAATGATACATGTACATGTAATTACTTAAAGCAATACTGAAAATACGTATAATACAGCTATACGGGGAAGCCGTGCTTTTTCAAAGTGCCTTTGGCGCATCACAAAGTATGTATATTTTTGCAAGGGTTAACTGATATCTTGGGGATCTTCCATCGTCACATCTTTATCATGAACACAAGTAGCTCTTGTTTGATATTGTGTGAGGGCAAATAGCTCTTGACAGAAGATAACATAAGAAAAAAAACCAACAAAAAAAAACCCCAAAGACCAAAACAAACCAAAAAAAAAGAAGAAGGAAGAAAAGGAAATAATGTGTGTTTTTTTTTATCTCTTAGAAACCGGCATGTCCATTGCCAAGATACCGTGCTGTGCTATTGCTCTTTCTTGCTTTCCTCATTCATCATAAATGTCTGCTTGCCTGTACTACAAGTTATTTACTGCATCTTCATAATATTTCAAATCTTCTTTCTTTTCTGATGGTGTTGGTGGGTGATACAAGATTATAGCTTTGAAACCTGTCTTTTTCATAGTGAAAATGCTCACACTAACATATATATATATATGAATACACATGTATAGTAGCCTATATTCAGTTTTCAAATATTCTTCCAACAACAAAACAGGGACCAGGCCTCCGACTTGTAAGACGTAATGTATAATGTACAGCACATGTACACCATGGTACGCTGCAAACATTTGTAGGTGCAGACTTTGCAGATTCTACTTGAAGGGAACATGCGGGAGTGCTGTGGGTCATCATACCTTTACATTGTGGTGATCGGTGACACGACGCGATCAATTTAAACACAATTAGTCATTAACAATACATGTACCAGAATTGTAGAATACATTATAGGCTTACTTTCATGTTTTGAAGCTACGTTTATGGCGCCATCCGGCCCACCGGCTTGACTAAATTCATGCACTGACCAAAGTTGTCTCGTGTTTAATATAGTGTGAGGCAGCGTGCCTGTTCCCTCACTGAGACAGTTTTTTCAAGGCACCCCTAACACAGACTTTTTACGTAGCTGTGTATGTGTCAGTAGTAGTTGGGAATCTAGTATTTTCAAGTGACGCCTGGTTTTGTTTGGGAGGGGGGTGGTGCAATATGGTATGGGGTTATATCATCATTGAGCAATGTATAAAAGGTTGAACACACCTTTCAATATTGAAAGACCTCGAAGTGAGAAGTCCAATTATTCTTATGTAGATCAAGGGGAAGGCCAAGTAGAACCTGGAGTAGAATCACAGAGCTGAATGGTGTACAGGAAAGTGGGAAGGCATGGAATCATAAACATCAAGAGGCTAGCCCAAGATAGGAAAAGGTGGAACATATTTGTTCGTGGCCTATACCATGATGAAGGGTGAGAAGGGCAATGATGATGGTGATTCTTTTGTAGGAGCAAGCCAGCTGGACGAAAAGACTTGAAAAAAACCTCCCTAAACAGCCAAATAAGGCTAAGACTGCCCTCGTAAGCTGGGAACTCGACAAATTAACAATAAAATAATAAATAGTATTTGTTGTTTAGCACATGTACCCGCTCAAAAGCAAGTTCTATGCGCTTAATTGCAATCTATATTACATGTATTACCCCAGCAGGCCCTAGAACACCCAGAAACACTCTTGACTTCTCGTGAAGCATGATACAGCACAAGCAGCCGATTTAAGCGCTCAAATAGTCTACTATGAAAATGTTCCTTCGCTGTCTATAGCCGGGTACCCATTCTCATTTCGGCGAAGTGAGGACATTTTGTGTAAAGTGCCTCTCTCAATCAAGTATGCAACGTCGAGCCCCTGACGGCTGGGTTCAAACTGATCACGACTAGACTCGGCGCCATCAGCACCGAAGTGCCGGGTGATAACAATAGAGCTAACAGCACACACGTGTCGGTTCGTCTACTGTCAGCCCAAATGATAACCCATCATGAAGAGAGATAGATCTATGAAGTGTCGCCTTAGTCAAGTCTCCGAGTCTGAGGCTGCAAGTTTGTTAAGGGATTTTCAGTTGGCAGTTAAAACCAAACTGTATAATATGTGTGGCATCGTGGTGAAATCAGGTGCTCGTCGAAATATAACGAAATAAAAGAAACCAACATTTTTCCTCCCGTTGGGCAACATTTGTCGACCCCCCCCCCCCTCAACACCCTTTATATTCATGTATGGATTGTACATGTATTAAAATACGTTGATCAAAGGCGCAGAACTTGTAAAATTGCAGTTTCCAATTAAGGACTCTCAAGCTTTGGAAGTTACTCTTACACTGGCGACCCACACCTCCTTACTTCAGTCACATTATATCTCTACTTCTTTTCAATATAGACATGTATTTTTTACACCAAAAGCAAGACAAATTAACATTTATTGTCAACTATTTGACGAGCGCCTGATTCCACCGCGTCGTGACGTATATATTTTTCTTGTCATGTTGATCCATGATAAACTGTACAAAGCCCCATGGGCTCATTCAAGTCACAGTTCTCATTGAAAGGCCAAAGAACTGCTTGTTGGGCATTGGAAACGAATCCCGAACTTGAAGTCCCCCCCCCCCCCTATATAGTAAAACTGATTGGACATCAAACCGATATTCCAGGTTAAAGCAACCCTTTTAAAAATAGTGTTCAGGACGCCCCTCCCCCCCCCCCCAACGCCCCTCCCAGACCCACAGCCGATGCTTTTTGCCAGCGGGCTTAGAGTTTGAATGTGGTGGAGGTGGGAGTGTGTGTGTCGGGGTAAAGGAGCGGGCACAGTCTGTGGGAGCGGGTCACCTTGACTGTTATTCACAAAGAAGTTGGGCGAAGCAAGTTATCTAGATCGTCTCCACGGAAACACTGACTGATATAGAGGGACGCAACCCCCCCCCCCCCCCCCCAATCCCTGTCGGTAATTTGATAAGTCCTGAGAATTCCATTATCTCTCACTAGGTACGGCTGGCTCTAAATATAATGCTGGGTATCAAGAGGTTATAAACAGGAACAACAATAAAATAGGCCTGCCAGTACCACAAACACAGCCACAAAAAACCACAAACTCATGCAGAGAAACACCATGCGTATTTTGTAGGGGAATTCAAGTGTCATCCAAATCCTGTTTCAAGAAGGCTATTGCGCAACGGCATATCTCTCTATCTCTCTCTCTCTCTCTCTCTCTCTCTCTCTCTCTCTCTCTCTCTCTCTCTCTCTCTCTCTCTCTCTCTCCCCCCCCCCCCCCCCAATCCTCACTCCCACACACTACCAAAGACAAACGAATGATCCCGGAATAAAATATGATAGGCCTACACATGTTGTTATTTTGGTGAGACAATGTAATTATGTTGAATGATGGTAGTTTTACAACAGCTCTTAGTTCCTGGCCATGATGAGGCTGCAGGGATCTGGCTGTATTCATATATTTTATTATAGGCCTAATGCACTTGTTTTCACTGTGCGAAAGCGACTTCGTTTTGTGCAAATTGAAATATTGATTATATATTAGAGGATAATTATGAAATTATACTAAACTCACAGAAGTGAGTGAACTCACTTAGTTGTGTTGTCAAAATTGATTCAGAAGACAGTAAAACCATCACATCATTACCATCATTATCCATTTTTATTTAATAGTATTATGTTCAAAGAAAATGTGTCAAGTTTCTTTTGGAAAAGAGTATACAATAAATAATATTTTATATAGATCTAATTACAGGTCTACCACCATTTCTCAGCAGCGCAAGCTGACAAGTTCATTGTTCAGCGAGCGCAAAGATAATTTTCCGAAAGAGCGGTCCAGCTCAACAAAGTCAAAGAGGTTATTAATCGTTTTTGGCCCAGCTTTTAACGAAATAGGCTCAGGCCTAATGTGAGAGTAATGTCCCTTGCGCCTTGCATGACTCGGACCAGCAGATCTGTTGTAGCAGTAGCCTTGGCCAAGCAGAGCAGGCCAAATAATTTATTTTGGCTTCCCCTCTTGAGCGATTGTGTTTCACAAGGCTATCCACAACACCGAACAGCTTACTGGAGTGGGACTTGAGTTGTTGTGTAGAATCTACAGACCAAGGGTGACTGTGGTAATAAAATACTAAGATATTCATGTTAATGCTGATAATTGGCATGAAGCGAGAAAGAGTTGACAAGACAGCCACTTTTTAAGTGCTGCTACTGGTAGGCTACCCTTCCAGTGGGGCTACTGACTGGGCTCAGGACTTTTATCCGTGACTGACTGATTGACTGGGTCCTGGGTGGGAGCTTTGTCTCGACCTAACCGAGGTAATATCCTAATAATACGTCAATTGACAGCTGTGCTGCGTACAGTCAGGATCTGAGTTACAAGTTCGTTCAGCTGTTGGGTTTTTTTTTTGGTAAGCTTGTTAGATCTTATGTTTCTATGGTAATGCCACTTGAGACGCAAAAACCAGCTGTTACTTTGTTGTTGTTGTAGTGTAGTTGTTGTGTGAGTGTGGTGATAAGTCTGTGTTATCTCGATCACTCCAGAAATCTAGATATCTAGACCTAGATCTAGATCTAGAATCTAATCTATATTTAGATATCTAGATCTAGATTCTAGATCTACACTAAATGCATAATCATCACTAATTTAGTCATTTTAATTTAGTGTTGTGAATAGTTTTAGATGGCTATAAACTTGAAGAATTCTAATCACAGATTTGTTATTGAAGTATGAAGTGTTGTATTAAAATTTACAAGCACTGGACTCTCTCTATCTCTCTAACTAGTAGGGTCTTTAGTTATAGTCTCTACCATTTTGTCAGTTTTAAAACTTTTAAATGTAGGCCTATCTTGTGGAAATTGAAACATTTTCCAATTTGATTCTCCCAGGTAGATCTAAATCTAGATTTATGTTTATGTATTTGATAAAGGGAGTGTATACAGACCCGGTAACCGGGAACAAAGTCACAAAGTATACAGACCCTGTAGGGGAACTCTTTTGTGGTTTTGGAGAGTTTCTGCGCCCTCTTGGCTCAGGGTAGACCTAGGTTCTTCTAGATCTAGATCTAGGCAGACAGACATAAATCTTTGATCTAGTTTCGCGGCTAGCCTAGATCTAGATCTAAATGAAGATTGCGGCTGT